ACCCTCCTTCTGGATGACGTACGCCCCCATCACAGTTTGCTCCATGCAGCTTTTTGCCTCGCTGTCCGTATCCTACATGAAAAAGTATAAGACAACAAAGTAAAATTTAAGAGATTGTTTAAACAACTGTTTCTATGCTGTTCATAAAATCCAAGTAGTCAAAGTAATAAACAGAAAATTACACCACTAAAGTAGTTGTTAGTAATTACTCCAATACATAAATTATAAAATACACCTCTCATGTCAAAAGAGGTGGCATAATTGACCTCTCACCGGCCCCTCCCCGAAAGGGCCATTGTCCAATTACACATTATAGCAACCGTTACCGTGTCTGACAAACATTAACCTCAAGCAAGATGGAGAAGCGGTGTGCCCACCGATACGCCGAGAGATTGTGTCTGGAGGAGTTGTGTTCTTTCCATTCACAAAGTCAAAAACAACGTGAATGGATTAAACAGTGTGTATGGCCCCATTCCCAGGTAAATGTACCGAACATTATGAAGCATGTCTGCTTGCACATTTGGGTACCCATTGGTGCGCAGAGGAAACCATTTGTTTGTCGGACGTAGCAAGAGTAACTTAGGGGGACAGGACTCGAGAAAAGGCTAACTCAGCTGCTAAAATAAAACAGGTATAGAAGTGTTAGTACTAAACAGCTCAAAGTTCATAGACATTTCTATTTACAAATACTGATGACCATAGCAATGAAAAAAACAACAGGACTTGTTTTAATCCAAGTACAGATTCAAAAGCAATATTGTCTTGATGCATGTTAAATGCATTGTATGTTTGTGTATCAAGTTTAACTAGGCATAAATTTCTTTCCTTCCAATACCAAATTCCAGAAATTCTTTATTGCAACGCTTAATACTGTTTGGTATTCAAGACATCCTTTCCCCAATAGTTGGGTTGCGGTCACGTGGTTCTGATGACGTGCGGAGGCAGCGCGATTTTTGAGTGGAGGGCGGAAGTAAACATGGAGGACACTGTGGAGAGTCAGGAGAGCAGCTATTGTGCAACTTTAGACCCCGTTTCTCGGGAGAGATATAAACAGATAGTTAAAAAATATATCGGACGTGATCCGTATTCTTTGAAAATGTCCGAATACACCACAGAAGTAAAGGATTTGCCTACTATCGAGGCTGTGGATATCACCAACTACTTGGTCCTCCAGACTTCTTACTACACTAGGCAGCAAATGAAAGCTTTCAAGAGTCTGGAGGCGTACAATTTTTTTGTCAGCGGGTGGGTCCACAACCTTGGAACAAAACGTCTCCGTGATGGATACAGTTTGGTGTTTGCAAGGGTGAGTGTTTGTTCTTATATTGCTTTATCTTAAACACGCTAACAGTTAGCGGTAGCGGCTTTAACGTCAACAAACATGCCACATCCTTAGGACTTCGTTAGAGTGACAGTTGTTTGTTTCAAGGTAAACCATTCTCAGAGGTCTAACGAGACACCTCTGAAGACTTGGGTAATTGCAAAGGAGGATGGAGAAGTGATTGCAGCCCATTGCAATTGTATGGCAGGGTTAGTAGCCTAATTAAGTAGGATGTTATTGCAATGAGAACACACACATACACACACACACACACACACACATATACGCATAGGGCACTGCTAGCATTTTGCAGGTGTACTTCAGTAGTAGTGGGGAGAGAGTGTTTTCTTTTAGCTAAGAATTCATCAGCTAAGAATTTGTGTGATTGCCTTAGATCCCTCATGACACTCAGATGCATTTTTCAGATAGAGGGTAGAACTATTCAGTCATGTCATCACCTAGATAATGATTTCTCTATAGGCTGTTGAGAAAGAGTTAATGAATAAACATGTTACTTCAAATAAAGTGCCATTGCACATTAGTATTAGTAAGCTATGCATCATCAAAATGTACTGTAAATATTGCATTTCATGTTAAAAAGATTATGTGCTCTATTTCCAGACTATCAGAATCATGCTCGCACGTTGGAGCTGTTCTTTTTGCAGTTGAAGCTGGGGTGAAAATGAGAGCGACATGCACATCAGAGCAGTGCAAGTGGCTGATGCCATCTCATGTTAAAAAGGTAAGCCAAAAAGCAAAATGTAGGATAAAGAATGTTATATTGGGACTTCATGTGACAGTAGGATAAAATATCTTCCCCAATACTGCTACCTTGTCGTGGTGGGGAAGCTTGAGTGCCTCAATGACCCTGTAGGCTATACCGGCGGGGGCTTCAAGCTCCTGGTAGATCTTATCAAGCCGGGCAGGTTGCAGGTGAGGGGTCAGACAAAAGGCAGTACTTTAATAAATGAAGAGTTCTATTCCAAAACGCTATAAGAGCATTTAAAAGCCATTTCCTTTTTCATGACTAACATAACCATGACTGCAGAACCGTATACTGTATATCACACCCTTCTCATGCATGCCTCAACACCCTAGCACTTGTTTTCTGCGCACACACACACCTGACTGCAGCACTTTATATATTCACATTTCTCATGCATTCCTCAATACTCACAACTCCTCACACCACATTTTCATCAACATGGAACTGCTTACTTTCCACTCCTTTTATACCCAGCACATGGCACCTCCATCCCCACCCAACATACACACACACACTTCACTGCCAACCAACCACTATACCCAGCCTAAAACACACATACTCACTCCACTGCCATCACTGTTCAATTTCGAATATTTTTGGAAACGAATATATAGCGTTTTGGAAAAGAGCTTTTTAAATTTTAATGATCTTCTTTGGCTTAATTTTTCCAGATTCCTGCTTGCCCAGTAACTCTGATTGACTTCTCTTCAGCAAAGTCAAAAAACGAAAGCTTGAGTGTTCCATTGATGGCTGCACAAGTACACAAAAGGTTGGGAAATCACTTCCATGCCCAAGAGTGCAGAGAGATTCAGAGACATACTGTAGGTTTTTTGAGAGTTTAAGCAAAAACTGTCCAAGGAGTGCAGCACTGATGTCTAGGGAACCTTACCACAAAGAATTTGTCCCCCAGTCTAGCATGCTTCCTAAAACTGTGCCTGAGTACAGAACACCAGAGACACTGCAGCTCCCCCCCAAAGACCTTGAAGAGCTATGCCTGGACTTCCAGCTTGAAGAACTCACCCTGTCCCAAGTCCAGGCTGTAGAGAGGGCGACTCGAAGTCAGAGTGCAAGCAGTATTTGGTTTAGGCAAAGAGCTGGACGCGTAACTGCCTCTAAGCTGAAACAAGTTCTTAAGACCAACCCCCAGCAACCATCAAAGAGCTTGATCAAGGCCATATGCTATCCAGAGGCATATAGGTTCACCACAGCTGCTACAAGGTATTTAGGGTTTGATGTAGGGTAAGGCAGAGTTAAGATTTGGGGTATGAAACTGTCCATAACTGTAACTAAAAAAGTGTTATGAAGATGGAGGTTAGTTATAGGCTTATACGGCTAGGGTTATACAGGGTAAGAACTAAGTATAGTTTAGGGTAATGGCATATTGTATAATACATCACTTTACTGTTTTACACATCCAATACTAAGTAATAATTTCCTTTTCATGTTTGGCATGTGTACTGTTTATAGTTATGGATGCAAACATGAAGCACAAGCCAGAGGAGCATATGAGAAGCTTATGAGCCAGGAGCATGCAGGCTTCTCATGTATGGACAGCGGTCTCTGGCTGAACCCCAAGTGGCCATACATGGGGTCCTCCCCTGATGGGATAGTCACTTGTGACTGTCATGGAACTGGCATCTGCGAGATTAAGGTATTGACTCTGTTGTAGTCAAGGCCATAGGTGTGACATCTTTCCATAAGAATCAGTGAACTGAGTAAAAATGCAGGAAATACCTTTTCTAATTTCTAATCTATTGTTCAATTAAGATAAGATGAGGCTTTATTGTCTGTGTCAAATAGACATTTGTTTTGGGCAATGAGAGATTATGATAACACAGACCACACCCATCATCTTTGCTTCTTCACTGTTTCATCAGATAAATCTTGATTGTTGTTCTCATCACTGTGATTTTAGTGCCCACACTCTCAGAAAGATGCGGTCAACCTGCGCATGCGTGCTGGGGAGAAGGGCTTCTGCCTCATCAGTGACGGGGATAATGTCACACTGGACCCAACTCATGACTACTATTACCAAATTCAGGCACAGCTTCACATTGCAAATGCAGAGTACTGTGACTTTGTTGTGTGGAACCGCAATGACATATTTGTTGAAAGGATTTTGCCTGACCTTGAGTTTTGGGATGATGCGATTCCTAAAGTTGAGTGTTTTTTTTTAGAAACAGTATACTCCCAGAAATACTGGGACAGCAAGTTACAAACATACATGTGTAATGTGATAAAAGGACGACAACATAATGACATTTTGAATATTGTTATGACCTGATGGTAGTCAATATGAGTTCTGGCTATTGTATTTGCTCTGACGTAGCATTAGAGCACAAATTGTCATTTAATTTTATTGTACATTTAATTGTGTCATTTAAGTGTTGTGTAACACTACACAATGATTAAATGCTATTGAGGCAGCATAATAATACATTGGTGGTTTATTTACAAGATTAGACTTTTAAACAAATAAACAAAATAGTTTGTATGAGAATGTTACAGACAACATGCTGTCACAATGGCTCACCAAGTATTCCTTTATTAACTTCTATTAACGTCTTCGTTTAGGTGGATGCACAAAGACTTCAAGATGCATGCTCGTCTGGTATGGATGTTGTCATGCTTCAGAGGAGGAGGAGATAATATGAGCCAAAACCAGTCTGTTTTTCTTAAAGCTAGGGTAATCAGTTCACTTGCATAATTATTCTTTAGGTTAGAACCTGGCATGTACCACTTGTTAAGCCGAAACAAAATTGACAACTTCATCTCCAAATAAAAGTTATTTTTGCTGCCTATGACAAAGTCTACTCAATCCTAATACAAACCTTGGAGATGGCAAGCATGAGACCTCTTATTTTCTTTCCACGTGTCCCTCCTTTGGTCAGAAAGATTTCCATTAAGCGTGGAGCGTATTGGTCAAGCTCGGCAAAGAAAGTAGATAGCAGAGGCTTTGTGGTGATTCGCAGAAACTCCTTCTCAATCTGCAATAGAGAACAAATACATTGATTAAAAACGCAACTGTATATTTCACTCACTTCACATCTAAGCTGACTAAAGCTGCTTTTAGAAGACCATGCAGACATCAGTGCTGTCTGTGTAGAACATGAATCAGTCTGTGTCAGATACTGAATTTGAAATTTCCACTAAAGTCACAAGTAAGAGGCAAGTGGAACCAAGATCTAGGCCATTTGCTTTTTGAAGTTTGCAAAGACTGCTAAATTGCACCAGTGGTAGTTCACTCTTTGCAACACAGTATGCTGTTCTAAACAGATTTTTCAGGTTTATTTTTAGTATATTATTTGCAATTGGTGTTTGTTCTGGGAAAGATATTGCAGACTGAGCAATAATCCATTTCTAATGGGGGCCTTTCTTAAAATTACTGGTCCCAGTAACAAAGGCGCTTGTCGACTCAGAAATCGAGGGAAAACCAACAACACACCCGGCAGAACATCATGTTATTTACATGGGTGCACATAAGTGGTCCGCATGTGCGCATTCGCTGTCAAAATAAAAGACGCGCAACAGATAAGAAGTTGCAATGCACGTTTGCATACATATAAAAGGCACTGTTTTTGTCCGCTAGATTGGGATTTTCATGGCACATTCTGCACCACATCTGTGCGTTCATCATTTGTTTGAAGCCAGCTCACCTCCTGCAACCACTTTTACGAGAATACGTGCTTCTTTTGTGGTTCAGACTCCTTCTGACATTTGTTTGGAGGTGGAGGAAAACCAAAGTAATTGCTTAAAGGAGCTTCTTCGACATATTTAAGAGTTCTAAACAAATATGTCCTCCTCCAGAAAATCTTATGTACGCAAACACGCGTTGCAACTTCTTATCTTGTGTGCGTTTTTATTTTGACAGCGAATGCGCACCTGCGAACCACTTATGTGCAGCCCCGGTTATATAGCTCGTCATGTTGCAGCCACAGAAATTCTTTTGTCCATGAAACCATAAAGCTGCACTTTCTTTTTGCCTTATAGTCTGATTTGTCATAACTTTTCCGTTTTGTGGTAAGCTTTTCTTTGGCTGTCACTTCTTCACCCTGACCTGTCTTATTTGGCTCAGCAGAACTGAAATATATATCCTGCTGCTTTCACACACGGACTCACATAACGCTCAGCGATTCTCTGCGCGATCAACCTCTCACATGTTTAAGCTGCGGGAGGTTTCACTTGTCATGTTTGCATAGTAAGCTAATGATTGATAAGACGATGTCAGAGGAATTGGTGCACAAATTATCATCACTCACAGATCAGTGCTGTCGCTCTCTATACACAGGTCGGGCGATTGCAAAGTGAAAGCAAAAAACAAGCGCGAATTCAAACGCGATTTCAATATGTCACATATTGACAGTGGCTCACCGATGCCAATGACATAATTACCCAGCTACATTTCTGAAAGAATGCAAAAGCATTGACATATATTTTTCCTTCTTATGACAGCCCGACGGGCAGGGCAAAGATAGATTTTGGTAGCCCGACTGGAAAAATCGCTAGCCCTGGGACGTCGGGCTAGCCATTTTGCAAGCCCTGTACAGTGTTTCAATAATTTGTACCTACTACTCTCCCTGATGGAACAACGCTTGCACTGCCACATACAAGTCACTGAAAGAAAAAAAGAAAAGCAGTTTTAAGGATAGTTTTATTGGCACCTTTTTTTCACTTTGATTAAATCATAAAACTATCATAAAAAATATATGATGGTAAAAGGCTTACCATGTATTAAAGAGGAGGCACAAACAATCAGAAAAAGGGGTCAGCTTTCTTTGTGGTGTTACTATGGTAAAGAAAACAGACAAAATTATTTTATAAAAATTCCACAGTGGATTTTTTTTTAAACTTTGTTGCAAATGTATAAAAAAAATACAAATACATATAAATACCTCTTGCAATATAAAATTCACAGATAAATATCCAATCTGTTGCCAAATGTAATAGCAGTGTTTCACACTATGCAATAAAGATGCTGGTAGTTGCGGTAAAGGTCCGACAGGCAATTTTCATAACTATCCGCCATTGCCTTTTCCTCTGACCTCGTGTTTATGCTCTTTTCCCCATGCACTAGCGATCAAGTCAATTCGAAGGATGCAGCCCCTGAATTGGACACAGCTAATATTTAGCAAATCGCGCATGCTAGTTTAACTTGCATTACTGTGAGAGGCCGAATGCTTAAAATAAAAGGAGAGAGAAAGAAAGAAAGAAAAAATGCAAATGATAATTAAAAAAAAGTGAACAAAGACCATGTCTTGCAATAACCGTCATTTAAAACCAAAGTGAATGCTAACAGAGCTAGGTAGAAGTTCAATGAGACAACCATACTAGCTTTAGCTAACTTCATTTACTTTGAAAGTGAATTACAAACGTGTTAAATATTGAATTAAACATATCAATAACCGCTAAAAACACTATAAGACTAACTGCAAAAACGGGTAAAAAAAAAAAAAAGAAAAACAATGAAGTGGAAATGCTAATAATAGTATAAATATACCCAGAGCGGATTATAAATCAGGTATTAGACGGTACCGATTGGCACCGTCTAATACCAGATTTTCACTGTATTTGCTCCACTCCCGCTGTCTAATGACAACTTACACATTTGGAATTAAAAACATTGTTAAACAATTAATGGACAGAACAACTTCTTTTGACTAAGATATTTTGAGTTATTTATTACTTACCTGTATTGTGGAAGATTCCGCAGAGGGAAATGGCAGTCCACTGAACACATATAATTTCTCCGCGTTCCCGCCTCTTCACTTTTGGGAAGTTTGAGCATGCGCACTAGGCATCGGTTTTAGAGTTGTTGATTTAAAATAATTACATTTAATTGAACTGAAGAATGCAAATCTAGTTCATTAAACTTTTTGTTATTTTATGTTAAACCAACAACTGATAATGATTTAAAAACCTAAACTCAATATGTTCATGTTAAATAGACAAATGTCTATTGAATTAATCAAACAACGGCCTTAGTTGACTTTTTGAGTGTAGAGTTATTTATATATTTTTCTTAGCTTCAGTGTGCATCTACAATGTAGAAAGCATTACAATAAAAAAAAAAACACTGAATGAGAAGGTGTGTCAAAACCTTTCACTGGTAGTGATGTCCACAGATATCAGTGCTAGTTCATTCTAGTTTTTAAATGATTTCTGTCTTCCAGGTGTTGTCCAGAGGAGCTGTCACCATGCAAGGACAAACACGGATTCAAGTGCAAGATAGATCAGGTAAAATTCCCATATTTCCACAAATGCCACAGCCAAGCATTGACGTTGGTCTGTTTTGTTGATCTGTGGATGTATGTTTGGACCTGTGTTTCAGTGAATGAGGGCCAGGTGTCCTTTAAAGTCAGAGTGTCTCCTGAGATGGCTCCAGAGTTCCAGGTTGTGGCTTATGCCGTCCTGCCAAGTGAGGATGTAATTGCCCACAGTGCTGACTTCTCTACTGACAAATGCTTCAGCAACAAGGTGAGTGTAATTCTAGAGGTGTGCTGTGTGTTTGGTGTCTGCAGTCATGCCATGTCGTTCAAATCAAAGTCATCTCCAGGATTTCTAGCATATACTGGTTGTTGTGGACTGGTTGTTGCACAGCTGTTTCTACTCTACCTGGGGACTCAAATTGCTTCTTTATATGACCTCATGACCCGCTCACTCCCATTTATACAAGCACTTTTTCAATGATGATGCAAGTCCTACCTATCTAACACTGACACAGTGTTCATACAGTGTCCAACATGGGCTACAGCCATCACATGGGACTCATGATTTGTCACTCACCACAGTGAAGCAGCTCATTTAGCCAGCAGTGCGTGGGGAGTCATCACAGTCACTAAACTTCTACGGGTGTTTTGTGTGTGTCAGGTGTCAGTGGAGTTTTCACCGTCTTCAGCCGTCCCAGGTGAAGAGACCAACATGCAGGTGACGGCCCTGCCACGTTCTCTGTGTGGTGTGAGCGCCATCGACAAGAGCGTTCTCATCAAGGAGCCTGGGAAGACTCTGGATGCAGATAAGGTAACTGCTGATATTAACACCAGTGAGGTGGACACATCCCTTATTTCCAGAGCCCGTAGTGTCAAGAGTTACCAGCAGCTCAGGCCTTCACTCCGGTACTTGTGTCCTGATAAGTATTCTTTGGGCAGTCGTACATTGAACTGTTTTAAACAGTCAAATGCTGAGTTTGTCTTAAAGCAAACTGGTATAAAAAATACAAGGTTACAAATGCATGTGTCTGTGATGACAGTCTTTCTAGCGAGTAAGTAAGTACCATGCTTGTTGCTCATGTGGTTGCAATATTTTAATCTTATAAAATTAATTCCTTTTGAGCAAATTAATATTTCAGCATGGAGATAAATCCAGGATCATGACTTTTTTTTTTAGCAAATAATTCAACCATGCAAACAAGTGTATCACCTGCCAGTCACTGTCTGCTTTACTTGAGAAGAATTTAACTTTGCATCAAAACTGCTCAAATACACGAGTATTTGTTGATGTTAAACATACAGCAAAACCTGGAAAAAGTGAGACTTAGTGAGTTTAAGGAGCTACAGCTTCAAATGGAGAACACTTACTGTAGCCATATAAGTCACTAAGAACGATGTGGTGTTTATAGTAAAATTGTAGAACTTCTGTAACATTTGGTGAACAGATACTTCAACTATAACACCTCATGTCTGCGGACACTTACTGCTGACTTAATCTTTTTTTTTCAGAATTCTTCTTAGATAATCTAGCAATTCATTTGAACCTAATCTGTACTCATATTTACATGTAAGAGTTAAAAAAACACATGTGGATCAAATGTGACCAGGCAGGCAATAAATGTTTGGAGCTTTTGCTGAACTGCACTTTTCTTTTCAGATATTTGACTTGCTCCCACTCAAGAAATCCTCAGGTATCCCGTATGAAGTTCATGATGCTACAGACTGCCTTAATGTGAGACCAAAAAGATATGTTTTGCCGCACCCCAGTCAAGAGCAAAATGATGCCTATGCAGTTTTCCAGGTAAATACAAGTATATCTGTGAGTCCGTCAAACATAACGTAAATACAATAGTTTTTGTTGTTGCACCAGTTTTTGCTGATCTTTGTGTGCTGCTGATATATGTAGAAAGTCGGACTGAAGATGGCGACAAACTTGGTTTTTCGATTGCCTTCATGCCTCAAGTTCAAAGGAAAAGTCTACCGTGATAGCTATCTTGTCTCCTCCGGTGAATCATTCACTTGTTTGTGTTGTGTCTGGCTATAAATTTTCTTTGTATTTACCAAAAAGAAACACGTAATTATTTTTTCTCTTTTATTTAGTTATACTTCCCCTGTCTAGACAATATTCTATTCAACTAAGTAGTCCTGGTCTGGGATCTGCTGGGCATCTTCCTCCTGAAGCTGCACCAATAGAGACAGCTCGCTCTTTCTTCCCTGAGACGTGGATCTGGGATCTGGTGGAAGTTGGGTAAGTATCTGTTGTGAAGAGATCTGGTGCATATTCCATTTTAAAAAGTTTATACGATCACATTTAGAAACCCATGTGAACTTTCTGCTGTGTCTTTGCACACATGAAAAACATGAAAATAGAGTAATTGTGAGTTTTTTCTTGAGCATGTTTTGATGCTTCAGGCTGATGTTTTGTCATATTTAAAGTTTGGTGGGATATATTATTTCACTGTCATCAGCAACGTGGAGCTCTTTTACTTTGTCAATGCAACATAAACAAGTAATTCACACTGCAGGATGTAACTACACTGTTATACAAGTAATTTACAGACATAAAACATGTTTGATTGTGTTACAGAATATGTTTGTGTGTATCTGCTGCTTCAGAGATGATGGAAAAAGGGGCGTGTCCCTGACTGTCCCAGACACCATCACCACCTGGGAGACGGAGGCTTTCTGTTTGTCCTCTCAGGGTTTTGGTTTGGCTCCTCGTAAAGAAATGAAAGTCTTCCAACCTTTCTTCCTTGAACTCACCATGCCCTACTCCATCATCCGGGGGAGCACTTTGAACTGAGGGCGACTGTCTTTAACTACCTGACCAGCTGCATCATGGTAATGAATGATTAAAGTGTTTAGATACATGTCTGTTCATAGCCAAGGAAAGCCATACTGAAAACATGACTTTCTAAGCAAAATTTATATCATAGTTATTAAAATACAATAGAAAATATCTTTTCTTTGGCAATATAACCATGCAGGATGCAGGCCGTTCTTGAAGGGCCCCTGCTCACCAACACCTGCAAGCTCACCTGCAAGCACTGACACCAGGATTGCCCAATCACATGTCTTTACACTACCAGCCCTCCTCTAGCTTTCTTTGTGCGCTCATGCACCTTGTAGAACAGAGTTTAGTGTGGAGGCTGTAAGAAAACAGATGGAGGGAAACGATTAGGAAGGGAGTAATTAAAGTATCCAAGTAAAATGAAGGTCTACTTTGATCATGAGTTCATAACATCAAACTTGTGCATTTGTTTAGATGCTTAAAAATGTGTTCACATTTGAACTCAGGTTTAAATGTAGCCATGTCTGTGTTCCTCGTACAGGTTACTGTCACTCCTGGGCCGTCCTCAGATTACACCCTCACGCCTCTCTCTGGTGATCTGTACACATCCTGTTTGTGTGCCAACGAGCGCAAGACCCTCAGGTGGACCATGATCCCAACAGCCTTAGGTGAGAATCAGGCTTTGGTCCTCCACACTGCCAGGAAACCGCTGTGTGGCAGGCTGAGTACACATCCTGTTTGTGTGCCAGCGAGCACAGTTGAAAATTGAGGTAAAGCAAGACTATAAACCCCTGTGTTGGGAGTGGGGCAGAAAGAATTATTAGTTGTGTCTCAATTCCTAGGCTGCATCCTTCAGAGGACCCGGCCTTCGCGGTCTATGTGGGTCGGGTCTTTAGAAGGTCGGGTAGACCGGAAGTGCCAGGTTGTGAAATTGGACGGTCTAGCCTTCAGATTCGCATCACTGCCGTCTCGGTGGAGTTTAATAAACTCACCTGTCTTCTCCTTGCTATCTAAAATATAACAGGACACTGGAGTAAATTCTCGACCATCTCACGTTTCTGATTAATCAGTTTTCTGTCTGACGCTTATTCAGCTGTGTGAAAACTGTAACTTTAATCTCAGCCAAACCGATTTACTCGGGAACAAATAAAACACTGAAAAAAGCCAAACAATAACAGTTTTAAGTTATCTAAATGACTTATAGCCAAAGACAGCGGTGATCTCTTACCAGGCTCTAGTGAGGCTTGACCTCCCGGTCAGCTATCGAGCAGGTGGGTCCGAAAACGTCGAAGCACTTTTGCAAATATGTGATATCTTGATAAACCGAGCAGATATTTGAAGTTTACATAGCTACATTCTCTCCTGAAAATATGTTAAAAGTTTATTTTGTGACCCAAAAGAGTAATAAGAATAATATTAAAAAAACGTAGTAGCGGCCGCCATTGTTGGAAACTGGAATGCGCTATGAATTCTGGGATAGTTTGGGCCACCCATCCTTCAAATCTTGGGAAATGAAGGATACATTTTTCGCCGCATTTGGAGCAGCCTTTGAATTTGGACAGCCTTCAGCGTGTAGCTGTGACGTAATCGGCCTTCAAATGTGGCCTCAGGAGGATGTGGCCCCTGAATTGGGACACAGCTATTGGGTCTACAAGGCCTAGATTTCCCACTTCTATCCTTCCACTCTGAGAGTAGAAGCTGCCTCCATCCTCATGGTTTACTCAATGCAGCTGTCTTAACTAATTATAAATCATTCTGTAACCTGCCTTTCAATTCTCATCAATTATTTCCATTATGTATGCTTCCCTTGGACAGTATATATAATGATATATAATACAAAAGACTGCTTGCAGTTTCATTTCCATCCAAATGATTTATATCTTAATCAGTTAGTGAAGTCAGACGCAACAAATTATGTATTATTGTAGGGTCTACCTTACAATTCAATTCAATTCAATTCAATT